AAAGCCAATTGTTTAGGTGAAGGTGCAAGTGTAATGGGTGTAGATAGAACATTCAACTTGGGGAAATGTTTTGTCTCTACAATAACGTACAAAAACCAAGGGGTTGTGCACAAATCAACAAAAGAAAATCCTATTATGTTAGGCCCTATTTTTCTTCACTTGGATGCGGATTTCAAAACATCATTCTTTTTTCTCTCTTGCATGTACGAGCCCAACTAGGTACTGGTATTGTCACAATAGGGAGTGACGAAGAGCGTGCACTGACAAATGCTTTACATGACAGTTTTCCTTTTTGCTTTGTACAAAACACATTAAAGAAAACTTAAATATGTTCCTTGAAAAGCACGGTACATCTCTGAAAGACAGACAAAGTCTTGCTAGTATATTTTTGCTGAAGACGGTATTGTCCTCAGCAAAAATGATCTGGAATATGCTAAAAGAAAAGATGACCTTGAACCCTATCTGACAAACAATTTCCGACAATATTGGGACAGGTTTCTTGAACCAAAATTAAAAGCATTTGTCATTGAACCTCTTCGGAACAAATTGATTTCAGAGTTGTGGACAAACAACTCTGAATCAATAAACAACAGACTGAAACAAGTAGCCGACTTCAAACAACACCGATTACCAGATTTAGTTGAAAAATGGCACTATAGTAGGAAACATCCAAATTCTTGACCTCAGAAGGGCATTGCATGGAAGTGGCAACTTCTCGGTACACACCATATCTTTTCAACTTTCGAGAGATACTTGGATCAATAAAAGTAATGAGGAAAAGGACATATTTCCAAAACTTTCTGGCAAAAAAAGAAAACGATCAAAATTCTGGACTCAAAATTTGTCAAGTCAACAACTTCTGATTTCCGATGTCCACCACCAAAACAGAGTTGCGGGAAAAAACCAGGCCAACGTCGACGGTGCAAGTCCGAAAAAACAGATAGAATGCCACTGTCATGCAACCCATCATTATTTCGTATTTTAATTTAAATTGTAGTGCACAACCCCTTCGCTGATAATATATATAGTCAAAATGCATATTTTTTGTCTCAGTTTCCGCGTGTCGGAGCTATACTTCATGGTTATCTAGACATGAAATTGCATTTCAAAGTACGACTATTTATATATTGTACTGATCTTTTTAATCTTAAATGGCATGTTCTTTGTAGTATTTATGTATATCTTAGAATATTGATTAGATTAAAGTAATGCATATTTGTTGTCTCAGTTTCCGCGTGTCGGAGCCATACTTCATGGTAATCTAGACATGAAATTGCATTATTTATATTGTACTTATCTTTATGTGTCTTCTAGATAGAATTGATAATAATTTATTTCTTTTGTATCTACTATGAAGTAGACATTTTATCTATTGTAACATTCTTGGTAATTTTAATCTTAATGCTAACAAATGTTTTAGTTGTATATTTTTAATTATGTATTAGTTTTATTTTGAACAATCAGTAATTGTGAAATATGTTTATCTGTGAATTGTTTTTATTTATAAACTATACATATACTATATATTTTTAAAACATGTTATACGATTTACCTTGCATCTGAAATAAAATATTATTATATTATACATACAAATTACATTGGACAAATGCTGAAGCCCTTAACCAGTCAAGTGCATCTAGACATGCGTGTTCATTAATGTCAATCAATGAAGTACATTGCGTCGGGACAATTTCTTGTGGTATTCAATTATATACGATTTACTTCCCCTTAACTTGGGAGCATAACTCCGTGTGTTTTTTTAAAGAAAAGACTAAATCATTCGCCTTAGGTTATTATTTACAATAAAATAAGCTTGAATGTGTTATTAGGTAGTTTTGGGTGTGTTTTTGGATGGTAGTTTTGGGTGTGTTTTTGGGTAGTTTTGGGTAAATTGTCGTGCCCGTCTTAATGTGGGAGGAAACCGGGGTACCAGAAAAAAACACGTCCGATCGGGGAATCGATATGATCATTGGGACAGTCTTTTTTACCGAAAGTCGATCTAAACCCTGAAAACATGTAAAATTACTCTGAACACCTTAGTTTAGGTCCAAATATAGCTGTAACAAATTCTCAGGTCCCTGTGAGCGTGATACGATAACGCCGAGTCGGAGTCTAGGCCTTAAGTTAAGATTTATTTATTAGAAGTTTAGACGGTCTTTCAAAAACTAGACCAAATCAAATCCATATTGACTAGGGTAAATCGGCGTCGGCTGATTTCCAGATCTCCTGATCAAAATCCACGATATCATTTCTCCAGTGTTCACCAAAGCGGAATCGACGTTGATTGTGTGAACAACTCGTACACAGTTCACACAATGTAATCTTAATGATTTTTTTTTTTTAAGATCGTAGACGTGATTGGATNTTTACTGGCCATTTGTCTGATGATGGTGACAGTGTACATATCCTTCTAGTCATCGCAACGTCACATAGGAACTCTTATTGGTTGTGTAAAAAGAACTTTTCATAATCCATATACTTACCAACCTGAAGAAAATGTTTAGAAAGAAACCCTTAAACCACCCGGGCCTTTTGGTTAAGAAGATGTTGATTAAAGATTTGAACATATTTGACCCCTATGATCTTTAACATAAGTGAAGGTCATTTATTTTAACAGGCTTGGTAACTGTTCCTCCCAACATTCTACAGGCCAAATATCATCATCCTGGACCTTCTAGTTATCAGATTTAAAAGATTTAAACATATTTCACCCCAATGACCTTGAATATTGGCAAAGATCATTCATTTGGACATATTTTTGCCCTTCATTCCTGCATGCTGCTGGCAAAATATCATTAACCTATTAAGGCGTTTAGATTATTTTGAAGAAATTGTTTAAAGTCAAAAGTTGATGCTGGACCGATGGATGGACGAAACGCCATAGCTTAAGCTAACTAGGGCATTGGGCCATTGTGTTAGATACACCATTTATACAAAATTGGTTCCCCTTCGCCCAAAGATGATGCTTCATACCAAATTTGGACAAAATCCTGTCATTCTTATAAAAAAAGGTATTTGAAGAATTTGCTATGTTTCCCTTATTGGGCCCCACCCTTCTGTCCACAGGGTGGCCATACTCACCTTTTATACAAAAATTGAGTCCCTTTTGCCCAAGATCCTCCAGGTCAAATTGGAAGAAATCCCTACATCCCTATGGTAGAGGTAAACCTTTAAAATCCTTCTTCTATTTCCCCTATTGGACCCCACCCTTCTGCCCCCTTGAAGACCACACCCACTGCTTATACAAAACTAAGTCCCCTTGGCCCAAGGATGCTCCAGACTAAATTAGGATAAAATCCCTTAATCCCAATGGTAGCTAGAAGAAGGATTTTAAAGGTTTTACCTCTATTTCCCCTATAGGGCCCTGCCTCTTTGCCTCCAGGGGGTCAGACCCGCCATTTATACAAAATTGGTTCCCCTACACCCAAGGATGCTTCATACCAAATTTGGACAAAATCCTGTCATTCCTACAGAAGGATTTTGAAGAATTTGCTATGTTTCCCCTATTGGGCCCCTCCCTTCTGCCCCCAGGGGGGCACACTCGCTGTTTATACGAAATTGAGCCCCTTTTGCCCAAGGATGCTCCAGACTAAATTGGAATAAAATCCCTTAATCCCTATGGCAGAAGAAGGATTATAAAGGTTTTACCTCTATTTCCCCTATTTGGCCCCACCCCTCAGGTCCCAAGGGGACCACACCCAACGTTTATACAAAATTGGTTTCCCTTTACCCAAGGATGCTCCACATCAAATATGGACCAAATCCTTTCATTCCTACAGAAGAAGGAGGAGGATTTTAAAGAATAATTTGCTATGTTTCCCTTATTGGGCCCCGCCCCTCAGGCCCCTGGGGGGCCAGAGCCATAGTTTATACAAAATTGGTTCCCCTTGATAAGCCAAGGATGCTTCAGACCAAATATGGAACAAATCCTTTCATTCCTACAGAAGAAGGATTTTAAAGAATTTGCTTTATTTCCCCTATTGGGCCCTGCCCCTCGGCCCCCAGGGGGGCCAGACCCACCATTTATACAAAATTTGTTCCCCTTCCCCCAAGGATGCTTCTGACCAAATATGGAACAAATACTTTCATTCCTATAGAAGAAGGATTTTAAAGAATTTGCTATATTTCCCCTATTGGGCCCCTCCCCCAGGGGGGCTAGACCAAATGTGTTCCCCTTCCCCCAAGGATGCTTCTGACCAAATTTAGTCAAAATCTGCTCAGTCGTTCATGCTAGTAGCGTTTTAAAGGAAAAGTTGATGGACGGACCAGGTGAGCTAACAAAACCACAGGATATGGCAATCTGATTAAAATCATATGTTACATGGCTTCGTTAACTTCGTACTACGCCTGAACATCTGAGTGTGCCGCAGTCAGGGTCATGTTCAGGTGACCTTTATATTTATAAATACTCATTAAATTTTGACCAATCAGAGACCCTCTTTCAAAAGGGCACTCGGAGTTGTAACAAATATGTCGGACATTGATGAGAATGATGCGAAAAAGTTATTTGAGATTGATCGTCTGAAACCCGAGCAGAAAAAGATATTCGAAGCTTTATTAGAGAAGAAAGACTGTATGGCGGTGTTGCCTACACAATTATTACCCAATGGGTACGTTTTCCTTGGCGTCNATATGGTATCTACAAATAATATTGTATTTGCATCAAAGAGTTAATAATTTATTTTCACTAGTTATAAAATAAAACACTCACAAAACTAGGTAGAAATGTAAATTTATTCTTTCTGTTAAGTGATACAATTTACAAAGCGTAATATATATTTTTATAATCATGTTTGAATGGACGGAAGGTTGCTGAACAGCACGACACACCACCAGGGTGCTCTGACCTCGGGTCAATGTTCAAAGTCCCTCAAGGTTCAAGGTCAAAATCTATAAATAGAATTCAGGAGAGTCTAGTTGTATTAATAACATTTCAAAAGTTTTAGATATTTTACATTTTTTAGCTGAAAATAACTTGAAAAAAAATAAAATCTTAATAAGGATTTGTTTTGCTCAATTGATTTGTAAAAACACTTTGAATACAAAAATACCAGCTTCTAACATTTGTCAAAATCCATTTAATTTAGTTCCTAATTCAGCAACAATTTTTAATTCAACCTTTAGTCACCTTGACCTTTGAGTTACCTTGACCTATATTAATTATTACAATAAAATAAACAAAAACGATTATTTACCTGTCTATCAAGATATATATTAAACACATATAAACATTTGCCAGAAATGTTTTCTAACTAAGCATTCTATATTTAACAAAAAATTATACAAGGAAAAGATATTTCAAATCAAATATCAGAGCATGATGCTTGCATATAAGAAAATTATGAGGAGACGTAAAAACAAATTTAGAACTCTTTAAAAAAGTTTTTAGACACTAAAGATATTGCACACACAATCTAAACTTGAGAAAAAAAAAAAGAATTTTCCAGTTTAAATCAAACATCTTAAGGTAGAAAACTTGTAACATCTGACTCGATATAGAAATCATTACCATTGTTCTGAAATAAAACCATTGTTTGAAGAATTTGAACTCTGCCAATTGAAACTACAAAAACCAAAAGAGTTCTAAATCATCAATCTATTGTTCTTCCTCTAAATAAGGTGAATTAAATAAAAAATATCACTGTTAGTTATTAGTAATCAACCTATATCAAAAACAATATCACCTATCGCTAATTCAATTAAAAATTTTGAAGGCCCATCACACTAAGTACATTTCTTTAAAACTTTATACAATTATCCTTTAAACATCTGAATGGAGCATTGTAATTGTCTCAACACTTTTGTTGTACATACAGTAGAACCTTGTTAGTCAGGACATGTTGGTTTGTGTGTACAGTGAGACCTTGACACTTTGGTTTGTGAGTTAAGTGGAACTATATGATCCCATTGTAATTCAATTTATCAAATAAAATTGTTTTTAATTCGTTCAATAATATTAAAAAAACTTATTAGCGTATCTAGATCTCTTGTTAAATTATTTTTCTAAGGTTAAAACTGATGTTAACATGAATTTTTTTATTATTTGAATTTTTAAAACTTTTCCTTTTCTAGTATCAATAGTGATGGCCATCTAATATTTTTAACGAAAATTTCTTGTAATAAATTAGCATGCAGATATTTTAGAATTAAATGAAAATACAATATCTGAACAAAAAAACCCACATTTTCAGTTATACAACTAAATTATATACAATTATTTAAGGTGAAAGTGTAACATCTATGCGCTAAAACTCTACAATGGATTAGGTACATTACAAACGGTTCTAGAAAGGTAAGACCTGCTTACATGGATGTATATATAACAAAATCGTCTAAAATTGACGTTTTTAAGTCCAGCTTAGTAGAATATAAAATCTTAACAACTCAAAGCTTACATTACACCATACGTGTGTTGAACAAACAGTCAATGGGTGTTCAAATCATCCTTAACTGAAGCGAAACCACTTAATAATAGTATTTTGATATGAAAACTCCACATATAGCTACATGTGCAAGAAATCAATGGGCAATCCAAACTACATACAAAACATTTGCACCTGAACATTTTTTGAGAAGAAAATCCTTTTTACATTGAAAACACTTTCAATTATTGCGTTATTTTTTGCACAAAATGTTTTGCCCCAGATCAATGAATTTCAGGAACACATTTAACACAAATACAGTAATTTAAGGTCTAGTAACATTTGATAAGATTTATTTAAAACTTGTTACTAAGTCTATCTCCTAGTTCCCCTGATCTAAACAGATGAGTTTCCTTCGGGAAACAAGAACTTTAATACGTAACATTTCAGTGATCATAATAAACTATACTTGTGTAGAGCAGTCTATGTCCAAGGTTGTTCAAACCAGCCCTAACCAATCTGAAACTATCCAATAATCAGATTTGATATTGAATTAATTAGATATATAAATTAGATTTGTTGTTGTTCTACAGATCTAAACAGAAGAGCTTAATATTGAGAAACAAGAACTTAGTGTAGTTTATGGGGATAGTGATGAAACGGAGCCTGCATAACACAGTTAAAGGATCAGGTTCCAGGCTCAGCGTTTTATCACAAGAAAACCATTAACAGCAGTAACTGTATAGTGATTATATTTCACTGAGTTTTATATCCAACCTCAAAAATATCTGTGAAAAACCAACCTATGTAAATTTGCCGTTGTTCTAAAAGAGATTTAATTTTGACCACTTGCAGTGCTGCATGAATTTAAAACACTGTAAAAAAAATCCAGAAATAAAACAAAAGAAATCTGACACTGCCATAAAAGTGTGCTATGAATTATATCATGATGTTGTTTTATCAAATAAATCCTCACTTCTACCATTGCATAATAGACAATATTCAACTTAGTCTGATTTCAAATTGTTTGTGCTAATTTCACAATTCTGCCGTATTTCTTTTTATTAATATTCATCACACTGGTCCATAGGCACCCCACCCAATCAGCGAAGCATTAATTGTAAATTTCTGCTCTGAGGCCAACAGTTGTACAACCTAACACTACCTCAGCCCATTTTACAACACACTGTTTCTTTGTTTAGTGTCCAATCACAGTAAAAATTGTTTTGATAGCCAGCATCACTGGGAAATCTGTTTCTAATCTTGGAATCAAAAACTATCTTCATGGAAAGCATTAGCAGAGCAGTGTTACAAATAAAAGCAGAAACAAACATTATTCCCATAAATTTGTGTTTAACTTATTCAATTCACCCCTGAAGACACATTTGAACTCTTCCAATTCAAAGGTTGGAATAGTTCATTAAGAAATTTCAGGGGTGAATGAGTTAAATGTAGTCAACTGTGAATCATTTTAAGCACATTCTGCATAACTTTATCCTTCTCAAACTGCCATTTACTTGTTTTGGAATTCAATTTTTGAAATGTCCGATTTTCACTTTTATTTGGTTTTCTTCTTCATAAAGCCCAGTATTGTTGATCTTAACACAAAGTTGGTGCCACAGTTACATGTGTTTTTTCCTCTTGATGTCTTCCATGGAGGACCCAGCACTGCTTGGCGTGGGTGAGTCGGCATGGAAACCACTGCGGGTGTGAACAGTCTGTCGACCTTTGACCTAGTAAAGGTAGATAAAAAACATAGTTTTTGCGGTGTGAGATGATTTAATGTTTTAGCTTTCACAGACGATACAAATACTATACATAAAGAGCAATTAGAACCGAGCACGATTATAATTCTAAACTGCATTTCATCTGAAACATGGGATGTGATTGACTTTATAAATGTAGTCGTGATCATCCGTATGCGCATGTGTGTGAGAGGAAAACGAACATTCTATATTTCTAATCATTGTATATAGCTACCGGAAATAGAAGACTGATATAGGCATAACCTGTTGTCTGATTCTTTTGTCAATACTGTTCTAACATCTTCTTTAATATATAAAACTTATCTGTTTGTATTATATATGTATTGTCAATAAAATACTTTTGAATTGAATTGAATGCACATATTTTTAGAAATGCTTCATTAAAATGGATGGAATCTGGTAGTTTGTCCTGATGGGGTGTGAACTATTTAATACTTGCACACTATACATGTAAAGCTGTACAGTGAAAAACTCCTTCTATGTCAATGGCTGACCATATTGAAACCTACAGAATCTGACACAATGAACCGACATGTTGATGGCCTCGCCCCAATTTTCAGGCTCATTTCACAGAACAGTGTCCAGCCAAATTAATTTATAAGATATCGAAATAGAACAAATTTAACTCATACACCCCTAAAATTACATAATGTATTATTCCAACCTTTGAATTGGAAAAGTTCAAATGTGTCTTCAGGGGTGAATGAGTTAAAGATTCTATCAATTTCATCATAGTATGATTTTTTATTTTTATTTAAACTCTATGAATCTGCAGACTTTAATAAATAGTTTCCAAAATCCATATTGCACACTTGAAGATTGATTAAAAAAAGAAAAGTGAGATAGAAAGTAAGCCCACAGATTAGACGGAGATATTATTTGTATTACTTAACTGGCAAGATATTTCAACTCTTTTTCACTTGCAATGATTTCCAGACAATTTGTTTTCTCCCCCCCCCCCGTTAGAAATGGAACTAGTAATTTAATTAACAAATGAAAATAAAGATGAAAATGAAGTGAGCAGAAGATGATATAAATAGATATACTTATTTAAGGATATGTTTTTCGCCAACTGTGTTCATACTACCTTATACAACATCAAAATGAAGGTCAATCCTTATATTTACATCAAAAATAATTTTGAAATGCTATACAAAGAATACAAGCCATTCCGATTGATATGTCTCGCCTATGTTCCACTTTGATTATCAATGCACATATCAGAGAAACTATAACTTAAACACAAAAACTTAATGTTGATGGAGATGCTGACAAAGTCAATGGACCATGGAAGGTAGGTCGCATCCAGCATTTGATGCATGGGTTGAGATGTAATACCTAAGATTTGGTTGGTTTAGCACTTATACTTTCACTGAAACTAAGTTAAACGCAAAAACGTTATGTTGACGCAGCCGCGATCGCCTGAAAGGCAACACCTTAGTCTCGCTTCCGCTACTTCTTGGAGGCGAGACAAAAACAGTTGAAGCGGGTAACTACGGTAGCAGTTGTAGCTAGGATAATATAGTTCCAGTTAATCAACATTGATATATGTTATATGGGAATCTTCACATGCATTTAAAAGCTATCTTGGATGCTTATACAATTGTTTTTCGATGTGAAAAATTAATATCAGAACATTTTTTTATCTGCTTTTAAAAAATGGCACTTTAATTGTGCATAAGAAAATTTTCATTGGAGCTTGGCTTTTATTTCTAAATTGAATCACAAAATATTAAAAATTCAAAACCTTATTTTTTCTTTTTTTTTTCAAGCAAATTAGTTTAATAATTGATAGAACTTGTTTCATAACCATTTTAAAATAAACAAAATTGGATTTAAATGAATTTAAATGAATTGCATACCTTATTAAGGCTATCCTGAGAGCCCATGAGTTTTTCCAGTCCCTTGGAGCCTTTCACCAGAGCATTCTTGATATCCTTGTCCATTCCTGGAATACTGATGTCTCCAAATACCTACAAAAACATGTGATATTGATACAGGAGAGGCTAAGATGCATGGACAGACCAGGATCTGAATGAAGTAACAAACAGAACTACCTGATTACTAGCGATTGACTTTGTCCACTACTGCTACATAAGTGCCTACAGCTGAAATACTTCCACCACAATGTTGTTCAGAAATGTCCACGTCTGCTTATCTATTGAACTGCTCTTTTAGGGTAGTAGCAATCTCATTTAAATACCACAAGCTCAAACCTTTTTATTATATGACTGTTCCTTTTTTTTTTGTCTTACCTCAACAATGGCACCGTCAGGTAGACGTAGGAAATGACGATACAGTTCCCGCAACCCATCCAAGTGTACGGTGTGGATAGATAAATGGGTTGTGATCTCCTTGCGTCCATCTTGTTTCTCCCGATTCTCAATTCCCTTCTCGTCCCAGATGCTGTCCTCGACCTGTTACCATAGAAACAAGAATTTAATAGCTACAATAGATTTCTTGAATTTACACCTTTGTAGTCATAGCAAGTAGTGAGATCTATATAGAATCTCCCAATTAATGTTGCTTTATGAATTCAACTTCTGATCAAAATAAACAAGTCAACACTGATTTTCTTTAACTCATTCACCCCTGAAATTTCATAATGAACTATTCCAACCTTTGAATTAGAAGAGTTCAAATGTGTCTTCAGGGGTGAATGCGTTAATGTGACTCTTAAATAAAGATTTATTATTTGTTTGCTGCACTGTGTTACTTTGAAAATTGAACAGAATCTAATTTGTGATAAATTTCTGGTAATGTGTGGCAAATTTGATTATTATAGCCATGTTTTTTCAACATGATTTGGGTATGAATTAGACTGTTCCTTTGGGATTGTGAAAATTGTGTTGTGCTGAATTGAACTGAGATTTTTTTAAAATTATACCAACAATAGAATTTTTTTACAATTTTTTTTTTAATCTAAAAGACTAAATCAAAAGAGAAAGATATAGTTCTGTAAGAAAGATTGTATCATGTTGGATGCTCACCTGAACACAAAATGGAAATTGATGGGTCATAATAGAACTATTTTATAAATTGGGAAAAGAGATTCTAAATTTAAATTCATGATATCAATCACTAAACTAGCACAAAATGGTGGAAAAATAAGCTATGAAATTCAAAAAGGAATGATAGGGGTAACCTTTAACAATTTTCTGAGATTAAAATATAACTTTAAGATTTATACTAAGGACTCATTTGGTATTTAAACTTTTGGGATGTATTTTTGCAAAACGATTTTAAGGAGATTTTCAAATGTTATAACCCCATGAAAACAAACATTACAGAATATCATATAGTGCTCAGTAAAAAAAACCAAAAAAAAAACACTTACAAAAACATCAGAAATCGGAAATCAGAAACATTAATTTATTTGACCATCTTACATCTTCCTCCTCCCAAATGTAGTCAAACACTGCCACCTTGCGTCTCTCGCCCTCCTCCCCACGCCACATCTCCGCCTTCTTTGCAATGTAATTGAGTTCCTGGTTGGAGACTTCAAGGTCATATGGGATAAAGAACTTATCCTCGTCGCCACGGAGACGCCAGTACACATCCAGCAAACGGCCATTGTTATGGAGCCTGTAGAATTAGAACAGAATATCTTATCCCTTGTACAGCCATTAGATAAAGCTGCCAACCAAAAATGTTCTTATAAACCAATAAAAGCAAACACTAGCTATTACACAGGAGTGTTCTCCAATAGGAAACTGTTAAGGTCTCTCAATTACACAGTTGGAGTAATCAGGGACCAATCCTATTTTGAAATCAAATTCCAATTTTGCGGGACCTGATTGTTGTGCATTTCAGGTAAAATGGCCGCAGCACAGTGCTACAATAAGGATCGATGGATTCAGTTCCTACTTATTTTACAGGTTATAGTGTTTACAGAAAAAAAATATTACTGCAAAAAGCATGAAAATTAAGAGCTTTGCGGCAAAACAAACCCAAGCCTTTACCATATGACTGCATTACAACAACAATATAACACTTTCATAGAATTACCTGAGGAAGTACATATAGAGGCAGGAAGCAGTCATGAACATGTGAAAGACGTAGATAAACGCAGTGAGGAAGATTCCAGCCAGTCCCGATCCCTCAACCGTATCAAAGTGCCAGTACAGTTTTGTAAAATCTGCGATCGGATTGATCGCTGTCACCTCTTGGCGCTGAAATAGAAACACATTTAAAAAAAAATGTTTTGCTATTTATTAAAAAACAGTCTGGGATGACCTTAAAGTTAAACTCTCCTAATGTTCTATATCAAATCATGCAGCCGCTATATAAAATCTATCTAAAAACGACTGTTTTTTGTAGTTTTACAGCTTGATGCTATAAGATAATTTGGCCCAGTGGTTTTGAAATCATGAAATTAACTAAGACTAGAAAATGTCTGTAAAACATAAATGCCCCCGCTGCCATGTGAAATTAGTTTCAGTGTTCTATAAAAAATTACAACCACTTTGATCTTGATACCCTGAAACATGCACACACACAAGGTACTACACTTAAAGTTGATTTTAATATTCATATGTTTTTTCTGTATGTTATTACCATCTCCATAACATATTGAATGAAGTTGCTAAGTGTTTAAATTGAATCAGTAGATGATTTTCTATATATAGCAACAGTGACCTTGGCCTTGACCTTGGAACCCTGAAACACAACAATGTCCGAAGTATACTCATACTTGACCTTTGCATAAAGTTTGACCAAAATCCATGAAAGAATGAAGTTGCTAAGTGTTTAAATTGAATCAGTTGATGATTTTCTATATATAGCAAGTGTGACCTTGGCCTTGACCTTGGATCCCTGAAATACAACGATGTCCGAAGTATACTCATACTTGACCTTTGTATAAAATTTGACCAAAATCTGTGAAATAAGGAAGTTGCTAAGTGTTTAAATTAATCAGTTGATGATTTTCTATATATAGCAAGTGTGACCTTGGCCTTGACCTTGGATCCCTGAAACACAACGATGTCCGAAGTATACTCATACTTGACCTTTGTATAAAGTTTGACCAAAATCTGTCAAAGAATGAAGTTGCTAAGTGTTTACATTGAATCGGGACGGGACGGGACGGGACGGACATGGGTAACACTATATGCCCCCCCATTTTATGGCGGGGGCATAAAAAAGTTAGTTGTACAGTGAAACCCTACTTGAATACCCCCTGTTCCTAAAAAAGTTCCCTTGGTCCCAACTGTGATCATATACATTATTGGTAAATTAACCTCGGATTACTCAAACAGAACAGACATTCCTTGAATACCAAGTATTCCTCAAACTCTGATTTATCCCCTATCACCCAAATCCTCTGTATTTAGCCTAGCCATTCGTCCAACAGGTAGTTGCACCTATATATCAAATACCACGAGGAACGACATGCCCCGAAGCACAAGACTGCAGTCGACACTCATTGTGGGTATCCAGGTGTTGACGGACATAAGATAATGAGAGGATTAACGGCAGTATCATTTAGTACCTGTACTGTTACCTTGTTGTAGCTGCATTGGCATGTTGTTGTGTGCACATTTATTATTTACCGATGATGTTTGACATCAATGTTTTAGCCGAATTGTTAATTCACTGAGTGTACTGTAAAATCTTATTTCAGCATGGCAATATCAAGCAGAAATCGCCATAGCAGATTCTCGACCAAATATATAATTACCCCAAGAGAGGCGTCCACGATAAGGATTGTCAGAGGGTCAAGGAATGTGTGAAGTCCGTAAACAATAACAAATTTGCATCCAAGGTCGGGGAAAAGTCCAAACAACAGTTGTGATATCCAGACTAAGATAATGAAAAGACAGAAGATAACGAGGTTCAATAGCGGGCCAGACCAAACCACTCCAATCTCTTCCCTCGTCGCTAACAGTGTCGGCTGGTAGTTCAGTTCCACCGTGTAGGGCAGGAAGTTGAATCTTTAAAAAAAAGGTGTTATTATAAAAAACACTATAATAAACTTAACATTTTAACAGTGACAGATCATTGCTGTTAACGTTGAGACCTGATTGTCATAACTAAAAACTTACTTGTTGAATGTGAAGATCAAGGAAATATTTTTCCTATTTGAAGTTATTTACATAGTACTTCACCTCTAAATGCTAAATAATTTAGGGTAAATATGTCAGGAACAAAAGAATTAAGAATTTAACAAGTTAGCAAACCAATGATTTTTAACGAGCAACTTAATAGAAGATCAAGATTTATAACATGTGACTGAAAGAGCAGAGTGACACAACAGAAAGAAGCTACTATGTAACATAAAGTAAAGGTGCTAAGTAACATAAAGTAAAGGTGCTAAGTAACACACGGGTAGATGTTGCTAAGTAACATACAAGTAAGGTTCTAAGTAACATACAGGTAAAGGTGCTAAGTAACATACAGGTAGATGTTGCTAAGTAACATACAAGTAAGGTGCTAAGTAACACACGGGTAGATGTTGCTAAGTAACATACAAGTAAGGTGCTAAGTAACATACAGGTAAAGGTGCTAAGTAACATACAGGTAAAGGTGCTAAGTAACATACAGGTAAAGGTGCTAAGTAACATAACGTAAAGTTGCTAAGTCACACAACGTAAAGGTGCTCAGTAACAAACATGTACATGTAGATGTTGCTAAGTAACATACAGGTAAAGGTGCTAAGTAACATACAGGTAAAGGTGCTAAGTAACATAACGTAAAGGTGCTAAATAACATACAGGTAAAGGTTCTAAATAACATAATGTAAAGGTGCTAAGTAACATACAAGTAAAGGTGCTAAATAACAAACAGGTAAAGGTGCTAAGTAACATACAAGTAAGGTGCTAAGTAACATATAGGTAAAGGTGCTAAGTAACATATAGGTAAAGGTGCTAAGTAACATACAAGTAAGGTGCTAAGTAACATATAGGTAAAGGTGCTAAGTAACATACAGGTAAAGGTGCTAAGTAACATATAGGTAAAGGTGCTAAGTAACATAACGGTAAAGGTGCTAAGTAACATACAGGTAGATGTTGCTAAGTAACATAACGTAAAGGTGCTAAGTAACATAACGTAAAGGTGCTAAGAAACATACAGGTAGATGTTGCTAAGTAATATACAAGTAAGGTGCTAAGTCACATACAGGTAAAGGTGCTAAGTAACAAAACGTAAAGGTGCTAAGTAACACATGGGTAGATGTTGCTAAGTACCAAACATGTACATGTAGATGTTGCTAAGTAACATACAAGTAAAGGTGCTAAGTAACATACAGGTAGATGTTGCTAAACAAAATATACACTTGAGTAGATCAATGTTGCTAAGTAACATTGAGGTAGAAGTTGCTAAGTAACATTCTGGTAAAGGTGCTAAGTAACATTCTGGTAAAGGTGCTAAGCAACATTCTGGTATAGGTGCTAAGTAACATACAGGTAAAGGTGCTAAGTAACATTCTGGTAAAGGTGCTAAGTAACATTCTGGCAAAGGTGCTAAGTAACATTCTGGTAAAGGTGCTAAGTAACATACAGGTAAAGGTGCTAAGTAATATTCTGGTAAAGGTGCTAAGTAACATACAGGTAAAGGTGATAAGTAACACACAGTTAAAGGTGCTAAGTAACACACAGGTAAAGGTGCTAAGTAACATTCTGGTAAAGGTGCTAAGTAACATTCTGGTAAAGGTTCTAAGTAACATTCTGGTAATGGTGCTAAGTAACATTCTGGTAATGGTGCTAAGTAAAATTCTGGTAAAGGTGCTAAGTAAAATTCTGGTAAAGGTGCTAAGTAACATTCTGGTAAAGGTGCCAAGTAACATTCTAGTAAAGGTGCAAGGCAACAATTAGTGATATACAAGTTGTCAATCAGCGATGGCATAAAACGAACAGTGTTGGGACAGTTGACAATTTCACAGTGTTGTACAGAGTTGACAGTTTTAAATGAATTATGAGCTGACAGTGTTATATGACTTATTAGTTGACAGTGTTATATGACTTACGAGTTGACAGTGTTATATGACTTATGAGTTGACAGTGTTGTATGACTAACGAGTTGACAGTTTTAAATGACTTATGAGTTGACAGTGTTATATGACTAACGAGTTGACAGTGTTATATGACTCTAAGTAACATTCTGGTAAAGGTGCTAAGTAACATACAGGTAAAGGTGCTAAGTAACATTCTGGTAAAGGTTATATGACTTACGAGTTGACAAGTGCTATATGACTTACGAGTTGACAGTGTTATATGACAAACGAGTTGACAGTGTTATATGACTTACAAGCTGACAGTGTTGTATGACTTACGAGTTGACAGTTTTAAATGACTTATGAGTTGACAGTGTTATATGACTTACCAGTTGACAGTGTTATATATGACTTACGAGCTGACAGTGTTATATGAATTACGAGTTGACAGTGTTATATGACTTACGAGTTGACAGTTTTAAATGATTTATGAGTTGACAGTGTTATATGACTTACGAGTTGAAAGTGTTATATGACTTACAAGCTGACAGTGTTGTATGACTTACGAGTTGACAGTTTTAAATGACTTATGAGTTGACAGTTTTATATGACTTACGAGTTGACAGTGTTATATATGACTTACGAGCTGACAGTGTTATATGACTTATGAGTTGACAGTGTTATATGACTAACGAGTTGACAGTGTTATATGACTAACGGTGCTAAGTAACATACAGGTAAAGGTGCTAAGTAACATAACGTAAAGGTGCTAAGTAACATACAGGTAAAGGTGCTAAGTAACATTCTGGTAAAGGTTATATGACTTACGAGTTGACAAGTGCTATATGACTTACGAGTTGACAGTGTTATATGACTTACGAGCTGCCAGTGTTATATGACTTACGAGCTGACAGTGTTATATGAATTACGAGTTGACAGTTTTAAATGACTTATGAGTTGACAGTGTTATATGACTAACGAGTTGACAGTGTTATATGACTTAATAGTTGACGGTGTTATATGACTTACGAGTTGACAGTGTTATATGACTAACGAGTTGACAGTGTTATATGACTTACAAGCTGACAGTGTTGTATGACTAACGAGTTGACAGTTTTAAATGACTTATGAGTTGACAGTTTTATATGACTTACGAGTTGACAGTGTTATATGACTAAATAGTTGACAGTGTTATATGACTTACGAGTTGACAGTGTTATATGACTTACAAGCTGACAGTGTTATATGACTTACGAGTTGACAGTTTTAAATGACTTATGAGTTGACAGTGTTATATGACTTACGAGTTGACAGTGTTATATATGACTTACAAGTTGACAGTGTTATATGACTAACGAGCTGACAGTGTTATATGACTTACGAGTTGACAGTTTTAAATGACTTATGAGTTGACAGTGTTATATGACTAACGAGTTGACAGTGTTATATGACTTACGAGCTGACAGTTTTAAATGACTTATGAGTTGACAGTTTTAAATGACTAATGAGTTGACAGTGTTATATGACTAACGAGCTGACAGTGTTATATGACTTACGAGCTGACAGTTTTAAATGACTTATGAGTTGACAGTGTTATATGACTAACGAGTTGACAGTGTTATATGACTAACGAATTGAAAGTGTTATATGACTTACGAGCTGACAGTTTTAAATGACTTATAAGTTGACAGTGTTATATGACTAACGAGTTGACATTGTTATATGATTTACGAGTTGACAGTGTTATATGACTTAATAGTTGACAGTGTTATATGACTTACAAGTTGACAGTGTTATATGACTTACGAGCTGACAGTGTTATATGAATTACGAGTTGACAGTTTTAAATGACTTATGAGTTGACAGTGTTATATGACTAACGAGTTGACAGTGTTATATGACTTATGAGTTGACAGTGTTATATGACTTACGAGCTGCCAGTGTTGTATGACTTACGAGTTGACAGTGTTATATGCCTTACGAGTTGACAGTGTTATATGACTTACAAGTTGACAGTGTTATATGACTTATGAGCTGACAGTGTTATATGACTTATGAGTTGACAGTGTTATATGACTTACGAGCTGCCAGTGTTATATGACTTACGAGTTGACAGTTTTAAATGACTTATGACTTGACAGTGTTATATGACTAACGAGTTGACATTGTTATATGATTTACGAGTTGACAGTGTTATATGACTTAATAGTTGACAGTGTTATATGACTTACAAGTTGCCAGTGTTATATGACTTACGAGCTGACAGTGTTGTATGACTTACGAGTTGACAGTGTTATATGACATACGAGTTGACAGTGTTATATGACTTACGAGATGACAGTGTTATATGACTTACGATCTGACAGTGTTATATGAATTACGAGTTGACAGTTTTAAATGACTTATGACTTGACAGTGTTATATGACTAACGAGTTGACATTGTTATATGACTTACGAGTTGACAGTGTTATATGACTTACGAGTTGACAGTTTTAAATGACTTATGAGTTGACAGTTTTATATGACTTACGAGCTGACAGTGTTATATGACTAACGAGTTGACAGTGTTATATGACTTATGAGCTGACAGTGTTATATGACTTACGAGTTGACAGGAATGTTGATGACATGTAGATACAACCACTGTCCTATGTAATGCATGTACATCCTCATAAAGAATATCACAATGAACATGATGATCATCCCCCAGAACTCTCGGCTTCTCCACTGTGAAAGTCCTAGCTCCGACAGAAATTGACGCCCCACATACTGCAACTTTTCGTAACTCTTGCGTGCAGTGCTGCCCTTACCAGCAAATGCAGGTCTGAAAAAAAATAAAAAAATCAGCAACTACGTACAGGTCTATGAAAGTTATAATAATTTACCAATGATTTTAAATGTTCTTAAATTTTGAAAATGGAAAATCATCACCTCTAATGTGCGAATAAACGTTTAAACCTTCTGCAGTCATAAACTAGGTCACTGTTAGTATAAACAGAAATTGATAAGATTTTTGATGTCACCACTCTACAGAATTTATTACTTTTCCAATTGCTACGATACTTTACACATGTTTGAAAACATCACCTTCACAGGTAAAAAACTAGGTCACTGTTACTATAAATCAAGTTTTATAAAAATTGCTCTACAGACTAATCAGATCTATTCTGACTGTCAGTAAATTTCACACACATGTTCACAAACCTTACCTCTTGTACGATTTTGTATTTTGACCTTCTGTTATAAAAAAAAGTCAAATTTCTTATGACTTTGAAATGTGAGGGTATTTGCATTGTATGCTATGCCATTTTTATACATAATTTTCCAAATGCAAATAATGGATTTGAAAAATAAGTCACCATCTTCTACATCAAGGTACTTATTTTTGTCCAACTTTTAATTACAAGTCCTTACTATGGAGAATATCAGTTATGTACAAAACCAATGAAACCTGCGTAATGTTTAAGTATCTATGAAAGTTTGAGGGGAAAATCATGAATTGTGATGAGAATGTGGGAAAAAACGTGTTATCTTATACTTATATAGAACCAAGTTTATATCATTATTTTACAACAATTATATGAAACACTTAGTTATGTAAACTGATATTTATCTCCCCTGTTGGTCTGGATTGTAACCCACGGGGTTATTTATGTGAAAGGACACTGCAGTACCTGGAGGAACAGCCGTTTGGTCACACAGGTGACCCTCCCACCCCTACCTTTTTACTATCCTACCAGGGAATTGAACCCAGCTGTCTTGATGACAGGCAAGTGTAAGGTGCGGGCAGTCACCCATCCAGCTACTGACCACGCTCGACATTGCTGAACTAGTGAGCGGGTCCCCGGGTTATACCACATCACTGGAAAAGCATGCTTGCCAGTAAGGCAGTATTTCCCCCTCATATTCGATCTCTAATTCCTTAGTTGTTACACAAGTATATTCACTGCCACCTGACCACCCAAGACTTGCATGCATTCCTTAGCGAAGACGACCGCGAGACTTACTGTACAGCGATAGAGTGTTGTTCCAGTTGTTCCACGCGTGTCAGCTTCTTCCTGCTCTTTGGCGGAGCAAGCAGGTTTGTTTTGGGCAACATGGAGAACAGCTTCTTGTTATACTCATCTTGGGGGTTGTTAATGTAATGCTGGAATTGATATACATGTCAAAACAATTTTCACGTTTACATAAAACATTTACATGATCCCATTGTTTTGCCTCATATCAATCCCGCTTAATAACAAAGGCTATTAAAGGAAATTTCTTCTGGACAATTCCTTCATATGCTTCCCTTACATATATTGGCGAGTAAAAATTCTCCCAATCACGACAGAGAATAGTGACATTTTACTTTATTTATTAACTCTATTTTCCACAGTGTATTTTTCATTGTTTCATTAAAATACCTAGACTTATATTTAATTGATATTGTATTTCAATGGTTATATATTTAGGCATGAAAATAAATTTAACCCACTTTTCACTTCATATATATGAACATTACTTGGTAATGCTTGAATCAAATTACAAAAATAACTTTTGAAAATATTTTAATAAAAAATCATAAATTTCAGAAAATTTACCTTATAAAACATTCCTGGCATGCCTTTGACTTGTTTGAACTCTTGTCCTTTCTTGATGGCGTACATGTCGTCAATATCGGAATCACTTTCCTCCGAGTCGTCTCCGATGGCCATGTGCATTTTCCTGTCCTTATGAATGATTCGTGAGCCATAGGTTGTTGTTTCCAGCTGTCATATATAACCAGATTAACATGCATAATTTGCCATGCCACATGAACTGATTTGAACATTTCCTCGTATAAGATTGGAAATTTTCAGAAAAAGATCCATGTTACAGTGATAAACTTTATTAATCACATAATGTACTGTGTTTTCCAGTGAACATATCCATGTCATAGTTTTTGTGCGTATTAACCCATGTAATATGACCTATCAGCCCTGTGATTGGTTGTAAGTTTCAATTGTTTCAATTGTGACGTCATGCCTAGGACAAGTACATGACGCCAGATGCTCGCTAAATTGAGAATTTCTTAGACTCGTTTCATAAATCTCATACGAAATGGAAACTCATGTAAGATCCTTTATATAAGAACGCCCCTTTGACAAATACCAATGTGTGAGCAGATGTATACAGTATGCATCACTTTATATTATAACTCTCACCATGTTGGCCTCATTGAGATTGACCTTGGTAGTTGTAGCAGTTGATCTCACTGAACGACCTCCGTCATTGTCTGTTTCATAAAAAGATGGAGATTTGAGACTGTCACGTGATGTTCTGGAAAAAAAACAGTCAAAAATAAATGTTTGATTTTTTAAAAACTTTTTCTGATGATTCACAGTTAACACTTAAACTTAAAAATTCAAAAAGTGTTAAAACAATTGCCGAGCACATTTTTTAAAATGACATTAATTCTGATCATATATTCAAGCAGTTTTCCAAGTTTGTACAAAACTTAAGCTGAAAGCCTTACCCTATATCGGGTTCCTGTTCTGAACCTACAGTGGAAGAAGAACCAGGCTCTGGGTTCTCTCCATCCCTGCATTCCTCCCCTCCAGTCTTCACTCTATCTGGGTAGGCAGTAAGTGTTGAGGAAAACTCCAGTTCTACCTCATATTCCTTCTGACCTGCCAGGAACCTGTGGGCATGTTACAACACAGCATGCACTTGTCATCTTGTTTTTATTTAAGGATTGAATCTTGCTTTGGTCAATTTCATGGGGTGGTGAGTCGAGTTGGTCTTGAATCATATATAATGAACTGCGAAACATTGAATTTGTTTTAAGACCAACTGAATTCATCACCCCATGAAATCAACCAAAGCAAGATTCAAACCTTGTATTTCAATCAACATTTTAAAGATTCAAACCTCAAATTCCAGTGTTTGGCCCCCCCAACTCTGCACCCAGAGGGGCCACACCCTCTGTTCAAGGACAATATTAATGCAGGTCAAATTTGGATGGCACATAAAGAGAAGAATTCTAAAAATGTAAACCTCAAATTCCCCTTTTAAGCCCCGCCCCTCTGCCTCCAGTGGAGCTACTACCACCACCACCATTAATACAAAATTATACCTCTATGTCCCCCATTGGACACTGCTCCACTGGGGGGGGGGGGGGGGAAAAAAAT